TAATAAAGTAGCCGGTGAGCATATTTGTACATGTATACCACTCTCTCTCTCTGGAACTGCAAAAAAGGCAGAATGCATCAGTACAAATAAGACATCTTGTTTACATGTGTTTAATATAGTCGCACAGCTAATATTAGCCTACCAAAAGACAAAAGAAGCCTTGTTGCGCCAGCTCCACCATGCACTGCAATGTGAAATTATTTATTTGCTGTCAGAGTCATCATCCTTTCAGCTGCACATAAATGATTTCAGGTTGTGCCTACGTTCAGCTGCACAGTGATTGCAGCTGTGCAGACATATACAAGGCAGAACAGAGCATACATGTGGGGAAAAAAGGCATTTTGGGATGTCATTCAAGAAGATATTCATTTGAACGTTTAGCTGGAGATGCAAGCAGAAAAAGATAACTGCACTCTGCTCAGAGCTTTTAATCAAGGTGTGTTTAAAAACAGCAAGGAAATTGGCATGTCCACAGCTTTGTGAGGCATGAAGCCTTGAGGCTGGATCAGTTTATTTTAGAAAAGGGAAAGACTTGTCCAGGGAATGTTCTTTACAAGAACAAATCACTAATTTCTTCAAGGTTTTAGGGACAATGTTGGTTTTACATCTTGAATAAGAACTCTGTGATAGATGGAGCTGCTGCATGACCCACTGATCCACATCTGCCCTACATGGAAGTAAAGAGAAACCTTTTAGCAGCCACTAGAGAATATATGATACACACCAGGAAGCTATAGAAAACTAGAGGAAAGACCGTGTGCAACTCTTTCACCTCGCACTCCTCTCCGATCAATAACTGAGCGAGATAACAACCCATGTAGTGACTTGCACCGTGCATCTCGTCTCTTTATCCTTGCCCCAAATCCCAATTTCAGTCTTTGCATCTACACACCCTCTCCATCCTTTCTCCAAGCTCCGCCCCAGCTGTCAGCACCACTGGCAGCAACAGCACAGGAAGCATACCATCTCCAGAGGTTGATTCAGACAGAGCACAAGAGGATACTGGGAAGAGCAAGGCAGAACATCTGGTGGATCAAGGGACTCTTCCCCCGGTTGCTGTCAGCACCGCCGTGTTATCGGCAGCTCTCCGGGCTTCCTGGTAACAGCTGATCCCCCAGGACCCCAGCCTCCAACTGAGTGGAGGAAATCCACTCGCTGACTCAATTATGCAAGAGGTGTGAATTAAACATGAGGTTACCACACAAGAATGTATACTCATAATGCAGATGTGCAAGATCTGTAATAAGGCTATGTAGCAGCCCCACCTCTACTCTGATGCCAGGGGTGGGTGGGGGGATTTTTTCGCCAAACTTATCATTAAGCACAAGATTAAATAACAGTATGTTTATGCTGCTAAGGATGATAGTGAAAAATAAAGTGATAGGGGATTTTGCCGTCTTTGTCACTATTACTTCCCTGTGAGCTTTAAAGAGGAAAAACAGCCTTGTGTGGGAGTCCAGCCTGGAGCCAAAGGCTGGGCGGATTTTTCTCCCAGTCTCTCTTTCTTGCTTTGTGTCTTTCTCCCCCTTTGCTGGCTCATTCCTCCATGCCCTTTATTAATCATCCTTGGTTAGTCGGGCAGAGAGCATGGTGTTAGTAGCTCTGAGGAGTGCAGAGCCATGAAAGACACACACACATTCATGTGCATGCACGACTCGTTTATTTATTTAAGCATTTTTCTTTTCCTTTCTGCTTAGAAAAGATGTAAAAAAAAAAAAAATCAATACATTATTAAATAAATTATAGTAGAGCTGCTGGTAAACACACATTCTGATGAGTGTCCACCCATGCAGCTAATATTCAGGGATTCTGGCCTGAGGTTTTGAGACTCAGCTGCTGCCGCTGATGTAACCTTTTGAACGATCTCAGTTGGTGTTCAGACATTCCAGCTCTAGCACATATTCAAAGAAAAGTATATCCAGCTTAAGACCCAAAGCAGCCCTATTAAACGTAAAGGGGTTGTATTCAAACCAGAGGGGAGCCGCAGCATCGTTCCTAAGAAACTCCACAGATTTCAGCCAACACAGAGGCCTGATTTTTGGAGAAACTGACTGAGACAGTCCATCGTTCCCACAAACCAATATGCATCTGTGACCAATGGCAAAAGTCTGGATGAATAATGAAAGGGTGAGACTGACCCTTATATTTATGCTTGTAAGTGCACTTAGCTAAGATGGCTCCAACTGGGCTACATGCCATTATGGCCATTATCACTCTTCGATCTTCCTGAGAAAGTGCTGAGAGAACTGGTCATTAGACTTTATGAGACAGAAGGCAGTTACAGAAGTCTGGGCAATCCTGCAAAAAGGGAAGCGGTGGGTGGTCCCACTTAAACTGTTAACTTTTTGTTGTACTTTTTTACAGAAATTAATTATGGATTTCAATTGAAATATTATGCATATATTTTTAAAGGGAAAACGTTGTCAGACAGTGTCTTAAGACAGTTACAGGTACTCATCATGTGGGTTTGTTGTGCTTTGTGGATGGCACATATCACAACGCTCATCTTACAAGCAGAGCTCAGGTGACAGGCCAGCAGCAGCAGCAGCAGCAGCGCTGGGAACAGAGGGCAGAGGACGCACCTGGTTTGACGGTCTTCAAGCGAATCGGCTCCCGAAAGTGGCGGATGACAGCCAGGGTGTCACGGTTCGTAAGCCCGCTGACGGGCGTGCCGTTCACCTCCAGCAGGACGTCCCCGTAGTACGGCAGCTTTCCGACGTGACACACCAGCACGTCCAGCTTCATCTGGCCAATGTAGGGGAACTGTCCGAGCTCCGCTCCTCCAAGGATCTCCACCACGGAGCCGAAGTCTCCCAGGCTCCCCCATGACACGGCGCACTCCACCACTTTGGTGGACCAGTGTTTCTTCTTCTTCAGTGTTCTGGACATGATCTGTCTCCTTTTATTATGAAAGAATTAATCAAAGTGACTAGGAGCACCTCAGTTTGTGCTTGTTAAATAAGCGTGAAGTGACGCAGCCCGATGAACCCCCAGGAGTTATTCTGTCGACCTGCGGGGGGTTTCATCCTCTTGACATTTAGGATGGTCACCTGCTGGGGTCTGATGCTGAGGTATGGCGCGTCAAAGGTTCACGCTCCTGTCAGTCCTTGTAATTGTGGCGATTCCAAGCGCTTCTTGTGCGTAAAGCAACAGAGTTGACACCGTCGAGGTGGTCACAAACAAGACAATGCAGCTTATGTGCTCTTGTTCTTCACAACCGCGTCCACAATTTGTATCTGCATGAGCCTTCCGGGTAACAATAAATCGAAGAAAGACGTAGTCGGTTTAAAATCACTCACTTTGCGGCGGATTGAGGAGCGTCTGTCGCTGAAGCGTCGCGCAGTTTGCGAGAATCCCTCATACCTGTGGGCAGGCTGAGAGCAGACGGGCGGGAGCGTTCACCGGTTTGGGTGTTTACGCGGCTGAGATCCGCCCCGTTGTGACTGAGTGGAAAGACATCTGCTGAGCGTTTGTCTGCTACAGGTTTGAACACACCTGGCACGGCCGAGAGGGATGTTGTTCAGCTCCGAACCAGCCCCTTTACGCTCAGCAGCAGAGTTTCCCAGATTCTCATGCTGGCTCCATCCTTCGGCGTGTCGCGGTACTAAATGATGGTGGAAATAACTCACCCATACACGTTAACAGTGCAATATTGTTCAGTGTTATGTTATGTCATTTAATTTCTTATGTAAAATCAATTTCGTCGAGGTCTACTTGTATATTTTTGCTCCATTTTAATTGATTCGTCTTGGATATTAGAAAGACATGAGCGTTACATATGAGATTATCTAAAAATATCCGCGCCAATAATCCTCATATTAAGCGTGCAAAACAAATCACGCCTAATTAGGAACCCACATTTGAATTTTTTTTTTAATTATTATTATTTTAAATCTGGTATGGGGAGGAATTTCCAGGTGAATACAATTAATGTTTACACAGCGCCACCTGCTGATGAGATCACAGGACTGATAGGACTAGTTCATTTCATGGTCAGTGATTCAAGCGTTGACTTTACTTTGTTGCAACTCCCAGATGCAATGTTTTATTTGCATTTTATGTAATAGACCACAGTGCAATGTACATGACTGTAAGGACTGACATTAATACTTACTGTTTTTTTTTTTTTTGGAGTGGGGGGTGAGGGGGATTCGCATTAATATGCTTCAAACTGAACCATTAATTTGTTACTGCGTGTTGGAGATCATTCTCTCCTCTTGGAAGGTTTATGCAGGCTCTAAAAGTCTTTCAGGATTGACCTGTATTATCTATAGATCTTCCCATTATTTGTATTTTTGTGTGTGTGTGTGTGTGTGCTACAAGTTTTAAAATGTTTAATATTGTTTTTTGACCAGCATGTGAAACTAGCGATAATGCTACATAAACCTAAATGAGGAATACAGAAAACTTGTTTCTAGGAAAGTGACCCATTCCACGTCCTTGACTAAATAAGCACCTTGGACATCGCCTGCATAATCCCTAAGCTTGTGTGTGGGCTGATTAACGCAGCTGCCGTGTCTTTGATGGGGAGAAGGGACTGCAGCTGAGATACAAATTGTACATTTTTAAGTTTAAACACCATCTGATTTATCTTCTATAGCATGGATTTATATAGGAGAGACTTTGTTGAGTCTTTTTTTCTAGATTAGGCCCCATGCTGGCCAAACTTGTACAAGCTCGATGCAATTAAGCCCACGTTTAATCTGTTTGCCCTTTAAAAATTGCTCTGTGATGTGACCAGAATTAATGTCTGCAAAATATTTGCAACTCAAAATTAAATTGTGGAAACAGCATGCTTGTTTTCCCAAGTTGGCACCAGCAAAGACAATGTAGAACTGCATTGTTTTATATTTAAGCTAATAAACTTTCAAAAATCTTTCTGCTTGAGACTGTTTGGTCTTCCCTTTCTTTCTCCTCATTTACTGTCTGTTCAATAAAGGCTCCTAGAGCTGAAAATATGTTTCTGTTTTGTAAAAAACATTGTCAAAAATCAACAGAAGTTATGAGAACTAATGTTTAATGTTGGAATATTTGTTGTGTAACAAAAAGACTCTTTAGACATGCTTTACAGAATGTACAATTAAACATACAATACAAATAAACATTTTACAAAAAGAAAAGGCAAGATTTAACAAAGCAAACAGAGCAGCATTGGATAGTGCCAGAGCAATCACTGTTAAACTTTGGTATAAGGTCAGGATGGATGTTTTAAAGAACCAAAAGCACATTTTGTCATCAGCAGCACTGGTATAAAAATTTTAAACACCCAACAAATAAATCACTTCTGGTCACGTATGACTGCAAGTTTTCCACTGACAATTTTGCATCATTTACGAAGAGTTTTAAAACACCAAAAAAAAAAAAAAACACCAGAATAAACATTTAGTACCACTGAAACAAGGAGTGCGACAGAATAACAAGACCACAAAGTTATGCCAAGGCTTTATTCCTCGCTTGGATACCAGTTGGTCATTAGCTTTGTTGCTGATACCTAGTTCGGAAAATAAAAACAGGCTGAGAAAGTGCTAGGAGCACACATTGTTAAGATTAATAAAAACAAGTTGGAATCAAAGAAAGTAGATCAGAAGAGGAACTTTCACTTCATGCCTGCACACCACTGAGGATTTCTGAATACCACTTGCTGTTTAAGGCAATTGAACGTACAGCTGATATAAAAAAAATAAGGTTTTTCCCATGATATAAATTGTGACAAAAGAAAAATCAGCATGAAGCAGCATAATTATGCACTTTAAAATTAATTTCAGCATTTCTGAGTTTAGTACCATTTAACTCATTGGATCCCAACAATGATCCAATGAGATCAAATCCTCTGAATCGCTATATGATTGAGATGATAATATATCCAAACTCTCAAATATGAGGATGAATCTAATAATGGACAATTTGAAAAATGGGGAAAAGAACTAAACAGTCACACACCCAGCTAAAAATTCATTAGATACACTTTCCCAAACAGAAGGAATTTCATAACTGTTTTGTAATACAACCTATGTTTAATAATCAGTACTGGTGAAATTGTTTTGAAGAGGTTTCGACTCAATATTATTATTATGGAACGTACATTAGAGGTTATATTGAAACGCTGTCTAATACAAACAATTTTATCAGTGAAGACGCAACTGTGTAAAGCCGGGCTTTTTCTGGACAGCTCATGATCAAATGATCTTTAAGACTGGACACATATCTTTTATCAAATCCAACCACAACATAGCAGCTGATGAAACGGTACTGTGGAGTTTTACAATTAGTGTCTTTCATCTAGGAGTGCACCGATTGCAGTATTCTGGCCAATCACCAATCTTTAACAAGCCTGACTTGCCGATTAATTTTTTTTTTTTTTCTCGTTGGCAACAGTGGGGTGACTGTTGTTCACTGCGCATGTGCAGAGGTGACCTGGTGGTCAGGCAGTCAGTCCTCTCTTACGGCAGAGTAAAAATGGACAGTGGCTGATTTTCGGATCTTTGCGGAGACAGATAAGATCAGTTTCTTATGCAAGGACCAGCTGCTCACAGATTTCCCAAAACTAAGGAAATCTGAGCCGATTTATTGATGCACCCCAACTTTCAACTCTTCAAAAAACATAAAATTAAAAACCATCCAGAAATAAAATCTGATTATTTCTGTCAAAACCAAGAATGTAAAATTTGTGCATACTGCTCACACACTGTGGACGTTTAAGTTGCTTTGTTCAAGTAGCTGCTGTAATTCTCACCTCAAATGCACACAGAGCATGTAATTCATTAGATAACATTATTTACATACACATACACATAAAAGAAGACAATACATTCCTTTTTTCACAGTCCAGAGTGAAATCATAGGCTTCATTACTATTTATGTAGGATCAATAATTTTCTGTCTGAACTGAAAAAAAAACAACAAAAAAAACAACCTTTTTATAACCTGAAACAGCAAGTAAACTGCACAATAAAGTTTGCCAACACGAAGTGCCTGTAGCAAAGGAAACAAAAGGGCTAATGAATCAGTGCATACTGTAGAAAGAAAGATCACTGAGGAGGCTTGATATAAAAACGAGGCCATCTGCTAGACAACCATCAGAAAATACCCAGCAAAAACTGTGATTGTCTCATGTGCAAAACAAATGGTTTTCTTCACAAACTGCTCTTTATTCTTAACAAAAGTGTAAAATTAACATGATTTTAAAACCCGAAACAACAAATGAGGATAATACATGAAAAATGTACCCATATATATGTATACTCATAATACACACCACATTTTGGTGTTATTGTCTCTGGAATTTGCATAAGAGTCGGTCAGAATGGCTGCGGAAACATGAGAGGTAAGCCTTTAAGAGTCTTCCCAATGTTATCAACTGAATACTGCTGGTCAGGGAACTACATCTTTCTCTTTAATTACCCTCTTTTCCTCCACTTGAAAAGGAGGGCTTAGTGTTTTCTTCTTAAGACGTGGAGTACTCTGCAACTGGTACCAGAAATGCTGAGGCACAGCTGCCTCAGAGAAGTGGTCCTGCCTGGCAGCGTCCGACTTGGTTCCATTAAGCATACATTCATTCTTTTTTTTTTTTTTTTTTTTTGTTGGAGACAGAAGAATAGCTAGGATGGAGGGAAGAGGCGGTGTCCTCCTGAGGTGAGGATGTCTGGAAAGAGGTCATTTTAATTAATCCTGTCTGAGAAATCAGTCTTTCTGAAGTACAGAATATTAGCTTGTCCTCTTGAGTTGAGCTGGGGAATGTAAACATACAAGAGAGCATCTTTGGCAGAAAGTAAGGAATCTCTTTGGAGGTAGTGGGTAAAGGTAAGGATGGAAAAGGTAAGGAGGTGCAGAAACAAGTCTGAGGCAAAAACATTGCCTGAATTTAAAGAGCCTATGTGGGAGCCCTGTGGTCCTGTGGGTTAGTCCTATTATAGGCACTTCTGTGGTCCTGGGTGGGCTGCCTGGGGAAGTAGTTAGCCACTGCTTCACTCTGCTCTGCTGCCCTGTCAGCAGCAGAGGTCAGAGCAGGTGTCCTGTGTAATGCTACTGAGAGATGGGAAGCTCCAGGTTGAGATACTGATGATGGATCTTCATCTTCTCTCCATAAAGATCTGCTGAGCGAATCTACAAACAGCCAAAAACCAGAAAACCTTTTATCTCGGCACCAAAATGATTCTCTTTCCCTACGCTGCAAGAACACAAAATCTTAAGTATTTTTAATATCTTAGTACACTTGAAATAAGTTAAAATTTACTTGCAAGTAACTTTTCAGCAAGATATACCGGCCTGCTTTAAGTAAATACATTTTAAATCAATTGTAGATTTAAAACATACTAGTTCCACTAACAGATTATGTCACTTACATGGGAAAAATGTCTTGATATAAGTGAAATAATCTGACAGTGGAATTAATCATTTTTATCAATATTCAGGAATTATTTACTCAAAACAAGCTCTTATATCTTGGTGAAAAGGTATTTGTAAGTTAGTTTTGTTATATTTTAAGTTTAATAAGAAATGTGCACTAGAAACTACACAAAAGATTTTGTGGGGATTTTTTTTTTAGCAACTTGTAATATTTTGCTTAAAATCTCTTTTAAAAAAAGCAGAGAAAAACATTTATATGCATAAATAGTCTTCTTTAACTGTGCACTGTACTTTTGCAACTGGAAAGAAAATATCCAGGAAGTCAATATAATATCTACAAGCAGTCTTGTGGCTTCACCTTTGGGTTTAGAAGGTCAATGGAAAATATCCTCTGCAGATTTGTTAAATCAATTACCACAATACTCATACAGCATATAAAAACACGCTTGGTGCAGTCTAATCTGTGCATCTGCAGGGTTGTTGTTAGCCACTTTCCTTAAAAACCACTTCAAATTTGCAGTTTATACCCGGGTGTTGGTAATTTTATCTTTTTGTGCAAGTATAAAAAACTTCAGCTTTTGCTTGATGTCTTACCTTTAACATATTGCTCTGCAGAAGTGTGGTTGTTGTGCATGAGGCTGTCCAGTGCTGTGTCCTCAGGGTGCGCAGCGTCTCCAAGGCCGTCCTTCAGGCTTGGCAGGGCCCTGTCCAGTGAATCGTCCTCCCCCAGATAAGCATATTGGCAATACTCTCGCGTTCGAGAGTAGATGTTGGCGTTGTCATAGCAATCGGAGCAGATGACAAGAGGACCTGCACCACCTAGTAAGATAAAACAATAATTTTTATTGTTGCACTTAACTTTTTTTTTTTTTTCTTTTTTTTTTTTTTTTTTAGTTCATTAATAAATTTAGACATCTGATTTGATTCGATTCAGATTTTTACAGGATGAAAGTCTCAAGTACACAATTCTTAATTCTTTAATGCTCACATTTTTGCAAAAAACTAAAAATGAAAAATGCAAAAACTGATGTTATGTACATTTTTGTTAGTTATTTTAGGCCCTTTAATCATTAAAAATGCTATAAGGTTACAAAAGTAACATCTTAATGTGTAAGCAAGAACATAATGAAAGAAGTTCAAAATAGGACTGGGTGACTTAGAATTTGAACACGATATTTTTGTGGCACTATTGCAATATCAATAAAAAAAATAATGATTAAAAACTAATCATTAATTCTCTTTGGGTAATTGTGTGGCAGTAAATGCATAACACGCATTCATAGCACCACAAATACTGCACTCCCATTAGAAAGTAGTTTCTTCAGGATGACAGCTACTTAAATATGTGATTTATATCACTAAACTGCACACAGTAAGTGCACTTAACAATATTTTTGATTTTATTGATGCTCT